GAGGAAGGTAGGATTTTCTGCAGAAGGCTGCTGTTGTTATTGATTTGTAATGTAGCAACATGCCCCAGTCATGATGGACCAAGACCCCAAGCTGCCCCAAAGAGCTTACAATTGACCTGGGTGTTTTAGTGTCAAGGAATCCTGTTCCCTAGGCTTCCTTTGCATGATAAGAATGGGCATGGACAGTGATGGAGGTGAAAATCATTATGCAGGAGGGCAGAGAGAGAGTTCCCACAGCTGTAGGCGAGCGAGCTTCCAGGGCCGCAGGACAGGAACAGATCTCCGGCAGCAGGTGGCATGGGAGAGCAGCGGTGGCTTCTGAAACAGCAAAGTGTTGCTGGACCGCAGACCTTCAGCCATCCATCGACCAAGGAGCCCAAAGCACTTTTCAGTGGGGGGGTGGGTAGGATGACTAGTGGGTTGCTAACTGTGCCCCCCAGGTGGTGGCAGCTCTCCCTCTGCCACGTGCTTCTCCCTTCCATTCCCCACCTGCCCACACTTTAGCATTGCATAGCACAGGGCTGCCCCTCCCCACACACATTTCCCAGGGCAGACCCCCTAATTGTCCTGGAGGGTCTGTTTGTGTCTGGAGGGTGAGGCATGTTTGTGTCTGGAGGGTGAGCTACAGCCTCAGCTGTGTCGCTGCAGTTCTATTGCAGCTCTCCTAGCAATCACCCCTTCTGCTCTGCTTCTCCCTTCTCATGGCCTCCAGCTACGCCATCGCCCGCCCTGCCCTTTAGCCTGCCCCTTGTGGTCCACAGGCAGGGTGCTGAGCACAAGCGGTAGGCAAGAAAGCAGGTGCACAGCCTGGAAGAACAACAGCAGGCAGCACTACCAGGCACTCCCTCAACCTCCTAAGAAATGGGTTCTAGGGAATAAGTGGTAAAAGCCAAAGAAAGAAAACAAACCGCAGTCAGCGCTAGAAGGTGCTGCTCTACTCTGCACTGATTAGGCCTCAATTGGAGTATTGTGTCCAGTTATGAGCACAACATTTCAAAAAAGATGTGGAGAAATTGGAGAAAGTCCAGAGAAGAGCAACAAGAATGATTAAAGATCTAGAAAACATGACCTATGAGGGAAGACAAAGAATTGGGCTTCTTTAGTTGGGAAAGGAGAAGACTGAGGGGACATGATGGCGGTTTTCAAGTATCTAAAAGGGTGTCACGAGGAGGGAGAAAAATTGTTCTACTTGGCATTTGAGGATAGGACAAGAAGCAATGAGCTTAAACTGCAGCAAGGGAGGTTTAGGTTGGACATTAAGAAAAACTTCCTGTCAAGGTGGTTAAACACTGGAATAAATTGCCTAGGGAAGTTATGGAATCTCTATCTCTGAAGATATTTAAGAGCAGGTTAGATAGACATCTATCAGGGATGGTCTATACCAGAGGTCGCGGCTGTCTTCCTGGGGGGTTGCAGTGCTTTGATCCGGGCTGGCCAGTATTTTCTTTTCCCGGCTTGGCACCCAATGCATACGCAGCAGGGGTGGGGAGAGTATCAGGGGAGAGGAGCCGTGCTTTAAATTAAAGGGGCTGCAACAAAATGTTCCTGGGGTGTTTTTTTGGCTCAACAAAAAATTTTCAGCATTGGGGGTCATGAATGAAAAAAGATTGAGCTCCACTGGTCTAGATTGTGCTTGGTCCTGCCGTAAGTGGAGGGGACTGGACTCAGTGATCTCTCAAGGTCCCTTCCAGTTCTAGAGTTTTATGATTCTAAGGTGCAAGAAGAGACAGCTGTGTAAAATGCAGGGAGTTAATGCAATTCTCTTAAAAAGTTATGAAGGGCAAAAAATAGTGACACAGTAAAAGTCAATCAATAGGAAATGTTATGAGTGTATTTTTTAAAATCCAATGACTTTTTTTAAAAAAAGGAAAGAATCCAGGAAACTATTTTATTGCCACTTCCACACGCATTTAAACTTTAAGCAACCAGCATTTAGGTTTTAAAAATAAAAATGTCAGAGAAAACTGCTGCTTTAACTGTTTCCTTCAATGCAACCTTAACCAGGCAGTGGCTACCCATGCCTGCTGACAGTAGTTAGCTCGCATGCTGAAAAGACCCAACAGTCCTTGTGGAGATGAGATGAGTCAAACATCAGGTTTTATTACAAAAATGTTTTAAAAATCCATCATGTCCTATCTCTGTGGGTTTATTGACCAGGTGCTCACATGAACCTACATGAGGGGGATGTATTTATTGCTCTCCCTTCTCTGATTTTTGACAAGGGATGCTGGGAAAACACTGTTGGGTGCTGCAGCATGGGTGTGTTTGTTGTCCATCAACTGTTGAACCCTTGGACTTAGTGCAGGGCTGGGTGAGATGCTGTCCGTGGGCCAGATCCAACCTGCCTAACACTTTGATCTGGCCCACAGACTGCATTTGGCTGCTTTCTATTTATATCCTGCTGACCGTGCCATCTAATTTCCAGTGGCTTAGGCAGCAGGATCCTATTAAATGACTCATGGCTCCCAGTCATGGTGATACCCTGGCAGGGGCTGAAGTTGAGACACCTTTAAATAGCCACAGGAACCCTGGCCAGTTAGCAGACATAGTGTTAGCGGCAGGGCCACACACTCTTTTTAATTCAAAGCGTCTGGCCCCAGACAACTCTGGGGGGAGGCTAGTCCCCAAACCCGCCCCTTCTGCCCCAGACCTCACTCCTTCTGGGGATGGAGCTGGCCCATGATCACATATCAAAATGCACTACGTAGCCCCCTTTCCCCTCCAGTGAAAATTATTGCCCACCTCTGACTTAGTGGAATGCATCCTCCTGTCTCTAGGGCAGTGATACTGGGACCTTAAGTAGGTCAGGAGCCAAATTACCAAGCAACATTGCCGGAAAGAGGCGCTGCCACAGGCCTGTGAATTCTTTGTTCCCTTCACTATAGTACTATACATTCAATCACACAGTACTGCAATATCATGTGCTGCAGTGCTGAGCCTGTGCAGGAAGCACCTGAGAGGCCCACTTGCAGTTTCAGAACCTCAGTCTGAGTATCCCTACTCTAGGGCTGATCTGCCCCCTTTCTGGGCAGGTGAAAAGTCGAACCACGTCTGCCAATCCCGTTAGATCAGAGCAGAAGGGCCAGAGAAGACAGAGACAGACTAGAGAGACTGAGCCCCACACACCGCTCCCTCTGCCCCTCACCACCAGGAGGGAACAAAGGGGGGACCTGGGCCATGAACAGCCCCCTGGGTGTGAACATAAGGCCTGTGGCCAAGATACAAGGTCGGTAGGAGAGGGAAGCTGAAGTCTGGGAGAGGATAGGTGGACCCTTGGGTATGGCCAGGGCAACAGAGCGTGGAGGAGTGCTGCTGGGTGCTTTGGATGAGGGGGCTCAGGCGGAGGGGAGTCGGGGGCAGGGAGAGGTAAAGGGGGGGCGAGTGGACACTAAGGGGAGAGTGAAGAGGGCTGAGCACTCGGGGCAGAGGGGAAGGCGAGGCTCGGCAAGGGCTGTTTGGGGGCTGGGCTGGGGGAGTTGGAGGAGAGGTCTGAGGGGAAGGAACCGAGCTCGGGCGCGAGGCGGGGAAGCCGGGCGTTTGACGGGAGGAGGAGGAGGGGGGCGCTCGCAGCGCCGGAGGCCGGGAGCACGTCGCTGCGGAGCCTGGCGCACCACTGCGGGCCCGCGAGGGTCTCTGCGCCCCCCACGTGTGGGCAGAATCACGTGGCGACTCTGCGTGCGGCGGCGGACAACTCGTTCG